CCGTTCTTAACATAAATCATTCCCACAGATAAACATAAACAGAAAATTTCAAAAATCTCTCTTAACATTATCTAGTTCGCCTCACTCATATTTTAGAGGAATAATGCAATAAGCAAAACTCCAACAGTTTGTTGTTTTTTTCTTAAATTGGAAAATTTTTACATCTGGAAAAGCGAAGCAAGCAGCTTGTTGGGCGAATTTATGGAATGTGGCGTAGATGACTAGTTATCTAATGACTAAACAACTTGAAAAATCTGGATGAACATTTTTAGGGTTAATTAAGTCATAAGCTATTTTGGTTACGTCGACTTCGTTGTATGTTCCATCCAATTAGAATATCATAATAGAAACCGTAAAACTGAAAAAAAAGAACATTTTAAGAGCCTGCAAAGCAGCATTTTCCGTTGTTGAAATTGTTTACCTCAATAAGCACTTGAATAGGTGAAAACTTGAACAAGTGTATAAAATGTTGTCTCAAAGTGTACTGAAACAAATACGCATGATCCTGGAGGTATAGAAAAACTTTTTTATATATGTATATATAGATAAAACCTTCAATAATTAAAAGAAAATGGAAGCATATCACATCGTAAAGATCTAAAAGTTATTATAGAAATGAGATTTTGAAAGTTTAGCATCACTGGTTTTGAAGAAAATGACCGAATTCCAGAGAAATTTATATGTACTTTTCCCGAGAAGGGACTTTTACCGTGAATAGGATTCTACACCAAAAAAGTTTGAAGGAGATGAATTCACATGCTCACAACCATTATGCAAAGGCGAGAACATATGCATAAACATTAGCATTTTAAAACACGACGATTCTCGTAGCCTCATCGATCAAATGATGGCCTAGGAACAGAAGTAAGCGCACTATCTACAGATATTCATTCGTACAGTGCCGAGTGATAATTCAAGACTGATGACAGAGTGAGGGGAAGGAGGAGAGATAGCTTAGAATCAAGTACGCTAAAGATATTAGACATACAAGTGTTCATACACACCACATAGATTTCTTTGAATGCGCGAAGAAACAACGGTAACCGAAACAGAACGAACAGATAAGTCACCTCACCATATGCCAGCGTAAACCTTTATTAGCAATTACAGTCCTTCCTCTCTTGCCCAGATGTGGCCGCTGCACGTGGAAGATTCTGCTTCGGTTGCACTCCTGTATCTGCTGCGTTGAGGTCAATGCTAAAAAGTTCATGATCTTGCAGGTAAGACGCGTTCAAGTGTTCTACAGATATAATGAAAGGGTCAAAATGACTTCGGACCTTACAACGTGTCGTTTCTACCTGCAAAACCCCTTGAAGTAATAACAACAAAAGTTTATTTGATATACATGAGGATATTTTTTCAAGTCGAATCATACTGGACCACAGGAGTTAAACAAGCGTTTTATTGCGATCCTCATGTAAAATCGCTTTACATGTTTGAACCTCCCTACACATGCTGCGCTGAGTATATTTTGTTTTAGCATATAATACACAAAAAAACAACAATGCAAAGACCAAGATGCGTACTTCTGACCAGCATAATGGAGAACCACTGAGGCGCAAACTAAAGGAATTGGTTTCCCCCATGTTAGAAATGTCTTTGATTTTCGGCTTCTGTTGAGGAAAATCTGAGAGTCAATTCACAGATTTCAGAAAGTCTAGGAGAAGAGTATCTAATGTTTACATCCCCCAATGGCGTTCAGGATGCCGTAAAAAA